AATTAGACAGCAACCTCCTTGAAACAACGAAAAATCAGTGGTTGCTAATACCTGTTGCTAACAGCTGCAGTAAACAACCGGTCGCCCAGAGGTTGACCGTGCAACACCCTTAACATGGAGGCAACCACATTACTCGTTATGCGATTGCACAAGTCGCCTGGTGCAAGGCAACCTGTCTCCAAATAACTGTGGTCTGACTGGGACTGTCTGCAGTCACTCTCAGACAGATTAGTGAAAGTTTTCAAATAATAACCATCTCGTTTATAACAGTTAATTTGAGTCAGTCGTGTGTAATGTGTGTTTTTGCAATAGGGAAGTCAGCTCTCCTTATATTCCTACATGAAGCCGAGGTTGGTGAGTATGCATGTCATTTTGCAGCTAAATTTCCATCCTTCAGCAACTCTGTCTGTATTTTGGGAAGATATTTCTGTTCTTGACAAAAGTTCATCACTGGGTTATTGCAAAAAAAATGCATGAAATTGTCAACTTGATCCCATTTAATTGCAAAGTGATAGCAGACTCCATCCCCAAATGTTTGCAGCAGATGGCCCCGCCCCTCCCTGAGCCTGGTTCTGCCGGAGGTTTCTTCCTGTTAAAAGGGAGTTTTTCCTTCCCACTGTCGCCAAAGTGCTTGCTCATAGGGGTCATATGATTGTTGGGTTTTTCTCTGTATCTATTGTTGTACGATCTACTGTACAATATAAAGCGCCTTGAGGCAACTGTTGTTGTGATTTGGCGCTATATAAATAAAATTAAATGAATTGAATCTTTTACTGCATGCTACTGTAATTGTCTTTAAGTGATAAGTGACTGCGAGCAATCGCAGACCTGGTCTCCGTCTTCGAAGCAGCTTCAAATTGTGTTGGTGCTGCTGTCTCCAAGCACTGTTTTCTGTGACTGGAGCATAGTAAAAACGGTGTCAGTAAACACACATCTCCTGGAGATCATACAGAAAAAAATCGGCTGACAACCATTAGTTGTTTTTTAAATGCTGAGGAAGTCCAAACTGGGGTAAACAGTGTATTTGTTTATGTTTGATGAATAGATTATTTTAAAATGAAACATTCACTGCTTCGCTATATCTGCAAACACCTGTACACTTTGATTTCGTTTCCTCCACGGGAGGAATATTTAATCATCGTTTTTATGCGGGCACTATTTCTTTGGGTGCAATTAATTTATTTCCCTCCCGCCAAACTGTTGCTGTTCAGTTTTTCTGCATTTATAGATCAATAAAAACAGTTACCAGAAACTGTGAGCTGGTTGATGGGACCTAAATCTCTGATTTTCAAAACATCAGTTCTTGTTTAGGTCAGATTTTGCATAAACACGGGTGCGCTCCGAAAAGTGTTGAATTTCTCCATAAATATTAGTCAAATAAAAGTTTTCAGCCATCAGTGGTAATGCAGTGTAGATTGCTTCTGCTACAAGCTTTGATTTTAAATGGCACTTGTCTGGAAAGCTCCTTACAGTTATTGAAGTCATTGCCTGAACAGAACAAGGAAGTTATTTTACCAACAGAAAGCGAGTGTTGCTGCATTCACAATGACTGGGAATCACTTTGGAGTGACTAAGGTATGCGTCTCAAGAACGGCAGATGGAGTTTGAAGCTGAATGCTGGTAGGCTCCTTTGTGACTTTGAATTATGATGCCTTATGCATAGAAATGTGGGTGTTTAAAGAAGTAAAGAAGTCGTGGTGACACGGCCTTGGGGTCAGATTTATGTTCATAATGGCTCACAGCAACTTCAACCTGAGATGAGATAGAACTGTCAACTTGTTACACGACATTTCGATCTTCCATCGCAACATTTATTGGCTAATCGTTACTTTTTATGTCATGATGCTCATTTAAATGCATAAACTGTTTATGATAAACTACGCCCTGAAGTGGTGACTTATTGCCGCTGGCATATCTGGATTTGATCTTGAAATCCAGGTTTGAGACACATATTGGACTTTTGAATATAAGAAGAGGTCAACAAATTATCTACATGATGTTAGAGCTGTATTAGCAAACCACCCAAATTAGACAAAATGCAAACAGAGATGTACACACACACAGAAAAAACAAACAAAAGTCGACTTAAATGTATCTGCTGCCATTTCAAAAGAAAAAAAGAGAAAAATGTCTGTCTAAAAAAAAATCTTAGGGAATTTTTTTCTGTAAGTTCTGTAAGTAAGTAATCATGTCACAGTATTTCGTTTGGGCCTGGGTTTGACTGCACTGTTGCAACACCTTCATTAGTTGCTTTTTTAGCCATTCTGTTGTAGATCTGCTGCTGTGTTTGGGAACTTTTTCATATTGCATGGCAGCATACATCTGAGACTGAATGCAGGATGCACATTTGACTTGAATATTTTGGTATAGAGAGGTGTTCACGGCTGACTCTATGTCTTTAAGATGCCTGGGTCCACCATTCCTCCACCACCGTGCTTGACAGCTGGTATTAGGTGTTCGTGCTGACATGCTGTGTTTGCTTTTTGCTCTTAATCGCTGTGCATTATCTCCAAATATCTACAGTTTGGTCAGGTCCATTCGAAGGATATTGTTCCAGAGTTCTTGTGATTTGTTCGGATGCAACTTTCTAAAGCTAAGCTGCACATGGTTTTTTTTGTTGTTGTTTTTTAAGAGCTTTTTCCTGGCAATCTTTCTAAACATTAAAACTTAACATTTAACATGCTAACTGAAGCCTGAAGCCTGTAGAGTCTGATATAGCTTTACTGTGATGTCTAGTCCTGGGTTTATGTTAACACACACTTGAATACTTCAGACCTGCAAACTGCTAAAACTCCTGGTTTTATCGCGGTGCTTACACTCTCTGCTGATCACTTAATCAAGAGCATTAGCAGCGCTTGGTTGCGCCTTACCTCAAGTCCTATGGTAATGGAATGCTTCCTTTTCATAGGGCTCACTATATGTTCTCATGTCATGTCAAAAGTTGAAGCTGCAATTCCAGCAAACCTAAGTTCTTTGAATTTTGATGTTGGAGTTTGTTGTTATGAGTTGGAAAACTCGTTACCATTTAAAAGGTCATCTGTAGCCAGCAGACACTGTTAACATTACTGCAATTGCCCTGTGAAGGCATCATTATGAAAACCTGCACTCTTAACACCTTTTTAGACAGCTAACATGAAGCAGCGACATTAAAATGGCAAACCGGGGCTGCTGTTCAAGCTGTTTTTAGTTTACTTGCTTTGACTCTGCAGTCCCTGACCGCTGCCACCCACCTGTTTGACTGACGTGCTGAATTTGGGGGAACTGTACTGCGGTGCCTAATATACTGTGCAGCCAGTCGGATATTTTAAAGCTATACGATGATGAATATTCTACAGAACGGGCGAGCGTGGGTCAGGATATTTATGTTTAATTTATACTTTACAGCAAGCAAAGATTGTGTAATGTTAAGAGGGGCAATCAGTTATATTTTAGCAATTGCTCCTTTAGCGGCGGCTCAAACAGTCACTGATTAATTCAACAGTCTCTCAACTGCTTCCTTAATATGGTTTAAGTGTTATCAATGCTTAATTGTTTGGTAGTGTTATGAATAATCCAGATTCCCAGGTCTTCAAGCTTATTCTAGCTTTTGTATTTTAAACAAATAACCACGCAGAGTTACCAGCTAGTAAATGGACCACATACAGTATGCTAGCTTAGCCCAACTGTTCTGCTGTGGCTGCTGCTGCTCTCCTGTTAATGGAGTCCTCCAGCAGAGCCCTCCAACCATGGTAGCCTCATTAGACTCTATGCCCGCTGAGTGAGACGAGCATGAATGGAGGGCAGCAGCACAGGGCCTCCTGGCTGCAGAGTTGGCATCGAAACTGGCATCTGGGAGCCCCAGACATGAGTAGTGTGTCTGATGGGATTAACTGGCTGTGGCGAAAGAGAGACAGAACAGGAGAGGTTGCCCAAGCTTCCAAATTAACTCTGCAAGACTGAAGGCAATCATCGGGGAGAAGGGGGCTACAGCACGACAAGTGCTGGTGGATGGTTATCAATAGAAAAGGAGAAGGAATTCAAGTCTTCTGACCCGCAGGAGTGGACTCGGGAAACATATGGTCTAATTCTGTGATACCGACTGGGCTCTTCATTTACCCAGCAGTACTGCTACAATTAGCATATTTTATTGTGAAACAATCTTCCATTAATTGTATCTGCTTGAGAATGAATGTGTGCAAATGTGCTGAAAAAGACTCGGTATAGTATCTTTTTAAAAACGAAATGCATCTGACAGAGAATAAGAACGCGCGTTTCAGGATGAAAACACATTACATTCAGTCATCCATGTTTCTAAGCAGTGCTGCAGTTTTGTGGCTGTTTGTTTGTGTACATTCTGTGTCTGTTTGCTCAGGCGAGTATTTGTGAGCATGTGTGTGAGTGTGTGTGAATGACAGGCATGAGTGGATCACCCTGCCATGACAGAGTCTATCGATCAGCGTGTCAGCGTCGAGGGAAAAGGTTAATCTGCCCGATGCCAGCCCCGCGCCTCACCCCATCTCTGGCCTGCCCTGCATCCCGCCCCAGCCTGCTCCCTCTCTTATCAGGATTAGAGGAGTGTACAAAAGGGCAGAGTATTCCCAGGACACACGCTGACCTTCAGTAATCCCACCAACCTGCCGCTCTGCTTATAATTAACATCAGGAACAAAGATGAAAAATCCCTAGCCTCCCTGTGTAACGTTCCTCCAACTGAAAGTCTCAAAGTAGAGAAGGAAAAAGTTACAGTAGATTTAAAGACTGAAAGCACACAGTCTTGCTTCAGTAATATGTTTTGAATGGCCAGGAGAGCCTAGCTGACATTCTAGAGGTGCTGACTGGCCTCCTCATGGTCCCCAGCGCACACACCCTAAACACAGACTGGAGAAACATGCTGAACCAAGCAGGGAGAAAGAAAACTGTTCTTGGGCTCAGTTGATGCTACTGTGGAGAAGGAATGTTGAGCACATAACAGAGGACTGTGTCTGTTCGCGTGCATGTGTGTGTGTGTGAGAACACACTCACCGGGTCTTGGTTCATCTGCACTATGAGTTGTTTCACAGCGTGCAGTGTGGGGTGGGCCCACGGAGAGGGATCCTGCCAGTGTCGATTCAGGTCGAAGCCCATCAGAGAACACCTGTACACACACACACACACACACACACAC